TGTCTTTACTGAAAGAGTGGTGAAACATTGGAAGAGGCTGGCCAGGGAAGTGGTGGAGTCCCCATCCCTGGAGGTATTTAAAAGACGAGTAGATGAGGCGCTTAGGGACATGGTTTAGTGGGCATGGTGGTGTCGGGTTGACGGTTGGACTCGATGATCTTAGAGGTCTCTTCCAACCTTAATGATTCTATGATTCTATGAAATGCAATTGACGTGACCCATACACATATCTGTTCCAAGGCATATTTGTAGTCGGTGTGGTTCCAAAGAAGAGACTGTACTGATCTAAATCATCAAAGATGATTATCGAAGTGTCTAACTGTCGAAGATGATTTGCAGTGCACTGGGGGCAGATTAATGTCCAGCCAACACTGACTTTTACATTCACTGATCTTTAAGGAATTTCCTCTCAGTTGTCTCAGAATAAACAAGATGTTATTTTGACTATAAGACAGATCCTCTTTCTTATAGACCAACCATCTTAGAGCGCTTTAATTTGTTGATAAATCTCAAAAAGATTTCTGTAACAAATTGTTTGAATCACAATTATAGCATTTTTATGAAGAGTTTTTGATCAAAGGAAGGACAGAAAAAAGGAGAGGAACATTCTTTCCCCCACTCCCAATTAGGTAATATCCATCTCTAAGATGTTTATAATAGCATGACAAGATGGAGGTTTCTGACAACACTGCTAGTTTACTAAAGGCGTTTTATCATCTATAAACTTCACATTCTCCAATGTTCTGTAGCATCTAATGTTGATTCCATTTTCTCATTGGAAAACTCATTCTCATTTTTGGATTGATAATTTACTAATTTTTATTTTAAAAGAATTGTAGATCATATTTTCTCTACTTGAAAACAAGAGAAATGCCCAAGCATTCCTTACTTTAGGTCTTAATTCCAGCTCTGTGTTGTGCAGACTTTTCCCCCTGGCTTCAGCAGTGTCATATCTTGAATTATGATTACTTCCCAGCCTTTGCTGTTTGGGGGTTTTGTTTTTAGCTTCATTTGTAGAGGGGGACTTTTTTGAAGCATGCTGATGTATTTTATTTGAGATACATACATATTCATGATTCTCTCCACGCCGTCTGCATAATTCTCAGGTACTTTAAACATTGAAACAAGGCTTGAAATCTCACACATCTGACTCAACCTAAAC